CATATCGTCTTCGCTATGGTCCGATTCCTCGTCGGTGGTTTCCTCTTCGGTCTCCTCTTCCTCCTCTTCAACACCGACCTCTTTGCTCAGCACCTCCTCTTCTTCACGTTTCAGTGCACGTTCTCGGAGACGTTGCCGACGACGTTCGAATTCCTCCTTTAAATTATTTCAAAACCTGATGAACATCTTCAATAAATAAATAATCTATAAATAAACACGAAAATATGAACGATTCTAAATGAAATTCAATTCAATCAAATTCCTTATAAATCAATAAATATATAAAAATTATAAATGAGCAGTGAACAAACGCAGCCGAACTATCAAACAATCTTCAATTTCCCTCTTTCCTAATAAACAATCTAATCCCTGCTTTCTGCTTCATACCAAGATAATACATACCAGATCTAAATCAATCGCTACATCCAGATCAAATCTCGATCAATCAATCGATCAGATCAGATCAAAATCAACTCAAACACCAACCTGATCATCCTCATCTGCTTCATCCTCCTCAACCGGTGCTTCCTGCTGTTCGTACTGCAAGCGTCTAGCCCGAGCTCTGGCCCTGCGTCTCTCGGCTTCTTCTTCATCCTCGGAACTCGATGCTGCAGCCTCTTCTAATTTTGTTGTGGCTGCCACAGCTGCCTCTGAACGTCCACGAATCACCTCGGGTTCATCCACTCGACGATTTCTATCACTTAAACACACACCCATAAATTTTCATCAGCTAGTGATAATGAACTGATTATTCACCGCATCAAATTTTCACCAATATATTCAAATGAAAACCCAAAAAGAAAACTACTTAATTACTTCTAAAACATCTACGATTCTGCCTTCTTGTGGAGATTTTGCTGCTATTAATATGATGATAATATGATGTATAGTGATACTTAATTAATAAGATATATAATGATATGATATGATGATAAAATATGATATAATGTGATGATAATAATATAATGATAATATGATGATATTAATTAATAAGAAATATAATGATACGATATGATGATAAAATATGATGATAATGATATAATGATAATAGGATGATACTTAATTAATAAGATATATAATGATATGATATGATGATTTAAAAAAATATGATATAATGATAATAATATAATGATGATAATACTTAAATAATATGATATATAATGATACTATATGATGATAAAATATGATATAATATGATGATAATATTATAATGATAATATAATGATACTTAATTAATAAGATATATAATGATATGATATG